CGTTTCTACTATTTCATGTCATTTGCCGTCTTGTGATGAATGAACTAGTTATAGATCCATAATTATCATAATTCTGTTCAACTATATTTGGTGATCAGTCATTCGTTTCTAACATTTCATATCACCTGTCGCCTTCTGATCAATGAATTAGTTATAGATCCATAACCACCATAATTCTGTTCAACTATATTTGGTGGTCAATCATTTGTTTCTAACATTTTATGTCACTTATTACCTTCTAATAAATGAATTAGTTATAGATCCATAATAATTATCATAATTCTGTTCAACTATATTTGGTGATCAATCATTAGCTTCTATTATTTCACGTCATCTGTAGTCTTGTGACGAATGAATTAGTTATAGAAAGAATTTATACGAATATTTTTCGAATTCTGACATCCATTTCTATGTCTGTAAAGAAAATATGATCAAGTAGCCGATGAACACATCATACCATAATTATACTATTCTACTACCTTCGTCACTGCAGTGTCAAGTTTGAGACTCTAAATACACTCTGATATCACACCACAAGTGAAGAAATTCGACCATAATTCTGTTCAACTATATTTGGTGATCAACCATTAGCTTCTATTATTTCATGTCAATGGTTGTTTTGTAATGAATGAATTAGTTATAGAAAAACTTTGTGCAAATATTTTATTCATTCTGATATTGATTTCTATTTCTATAAACAAAATATGATCAAGTGACAGTTGAATATATCATACCATAATTGAATTATTCTATTATCTTCTTCAATATGATGTCAAATTTGAGATTTTAAACATGGTTGAATATCACAACACTAGTGAATAAATCAGATCACGAAAAATGCGTTCAAATTTATGATGGGTTAAATAACGATAGATAGGATTATATTGACGATATGAAAAGATATGATGAATGAATGAAACATACGATGAATATATTCATGTATGCTATTCAATGAGCTACTTCATTTATATGACTTGAAGGAAATGAATATTATCTCGTAGTCGAATAAATTGAATTATGTTTTTATTCATGAATTTTAGTCGACAAATGCTTAAATTAAATCAGGCTTGAATATTTACGATCAATTGATGTTTGATTAGATCATAAGATTATATTCAGTTATTATAATCGATTATATATAGAATATATCCTATTTTACTGTATATAAGATGTCACAAATGATGAACAATTGATATTTTTGTGAGTTCAAGTATCTCGAACCATATGTATAAAATTGATACTATCGAGCAAAATCTAAGATCACGTTGTGAAAGAATGACTCATGTCATAATTTTATTCAAATATTTTACGTGATGATAGATTAAATTTCAACCGAAATTCATAATTTCACATCGAATAATACATCCACATTCATAGTCATTGCACGATTGTTTATTCAAATATTTTTGTCGAAACGAAATACGCTAATCTCTATCCTAAACAATATTCACCATCAAATGATTGCTGATGAATATCAAAGCATATAATTCTGTTCAAATATTTGACCAGATCAAACATTGTATTTCTATTGTAGTAGAAGATTTTAAAATGAATGAAAGACGAACAAAACATGCTATAATGTTTTCAAATATTTCATTGAATAAGAAGATAATATATTTTATACTAAAAGATAATATATCACATGGTAAATGTGCCAATCACTACAATATTCTATTCAACTATCTTGTACGATGAAACATCAGACATGTACTACATAACAATATTCAATATAAAATGGCTGATGAAGAAATCATAAGATGATATATTCATGTATTATAATCTATGAACTATTAGATTTCTTGTAAGTAAGAAGACTCAGCGGTGAAGTAACCAATGTATAAGTGATTTGAAATATGTGTTTCATTATTGCTTTCGGTGATGTCTCTAATTTTTAATATCATAGAAAATTTATATTATACAATTCATGGACATGTCAGATCATAATTATGTTCAAATATGTTGCTCGATAAGACAATAAATTTCAATTATTGAAGTAGATTTCATATTCTGTCATGAATGAATAAATCATAAGATGATATATTCGTGTATTATAATCTATGAACTGTCAGATTTCTTGCAGGTATGAAGACACAGCAGTGAAGTGACTAATGTATAAGTGATACGAAATATTTGTTTCATTATTGCTTTCGGTGATGTCTCTAATTCTTAATATCATAGAAAATTCATATTATGGAGTTCATGGACATGTCAGAGCATAGTTATGTTCAAATATGTTGCTCGATTAGACAACAAATTTCAATTATTGAAGTAGATTTTATATTCTGTAATGGATGAATAAATCGTATCAGGATAATTTTATTCAAGTATTTTACTTGATGAAATGTTAGACTTTTACCATTCTAGAATATCTAATATAAGATGACGAATGATATGCAGGTGTACTACGTGCAACGAGTGCTGATTCTTCATCTGAGTCGTCAAAATTTCGTGCTAGGAAATCTTTAACTGATTTTCCATTGCAAGTTGTTGCTAAAGCTAACATAAATACCGCAAGGCATACTGTACTTGCTTTAGTAAGCATCGTATTCGTTCAGGTAATAATGAAGATTGTTTATCGAGTAACTCAATATAATGAGAAGCCGACGTTTGTGATTTTTTACTGCAATTTTATCGACTATATATATGCTTCAAGACGAGCGAAACAAAAAGAAAAAAAACGATTTTTTTTTCTATATTAAACGGAGGTGTATGATAATTTGAGAGTATGTATTGCAGAGAGCCTATGCCTTTCTACAGTAAAAAAAAAGGTAACTTTGTTATTTATTTTGATGTTATTAAGCACCCACTCAAATATCGAGAAACGAAAAATTATCGTTCTATATTTTTAACGTTGTTTTTTTGCTTTTAAGCCTTTGCTGTCATTTCGTATATTCGTCGGTTTTACCTTTTTTTATTCAATTACGAATAACAAAAAATGCGCGACACGAAAATATTAGTACGCATATTTGTCCTTTTTTTCATAGTTACATGTAAAGATATAATCCAGATTATAAAATATCATTGGTTTGATATTCATTGTTCTATTTTCATGAAGGATACATATTAAACGTCAAAATAATAATTGACGATCACACAATAGTCAAAAATTACGACAGCTACGTAAAAATCGTCAAGAATGAAAACGAAAAAAAAAAAACCACGTTGAATATAGAAACAATTCAACCGTGACGGAGGTGAACAATATAGAGTGAATGAAATATTTTATTACTAAATAGATATGTACGAAATTCAAATGATCTATATACTAAACTTTATATTTTGAATTGATCTATATGTGTCACGTCCTGAAGTCGAGTGTTAAATGATATTTATTTAGATAATATAAACTACTTCAAACACGTGTATATATATGATGCAATACAGGTATACTAAGGAATATTCTAGAATAGGATATTCCTCGACCATAACAAAGATTATTCTAATAGAGAATAATCTTAATGAATACACAAGAACAAAGAAACATATATATGACATATATATTAACGACCTCGATAGAAAAAGAAAGCGAACGATAATAACTAGATCATATATCACAAATACGAATGATAATAATCTAGGTCATACACCACAATATGTATTATTAAATACGATATTTATATTAAATGTAAATTAATAATTAAACAAATCTTTTATTACTACGTGGATGATACATTTACATAAACAAGAATTTTCTATCTTCAAATTAATTTTTTATCGATCAATTTATAACTTAAATCACAGATAAAATAAATCATCAACAAATTATTTTAGGTAATCGTATTGCCTGATTAATAATAGATTTAAAACATTAGAAAAAAAAACAATATTGTTAGTTATAATGTAGTTTTAATAATCATCATCTATACTTTTTTTTTATAAAGAAAGTCAAAGGTCAGAGAAACATCAAAAATCAATTTTTCGCGATTTTCATTCGTTTTTCTAGGAAATGTGAAGAAAATGGATTTTTACGAGAAAGAGCTAAGCGAGTCCTTGGATGAGCGTTACTTGTTTTAATTATCACAGCTTATTCTGGCTACACACGAAAGAAATGGCATGCTGAACTTTGAATCACCAAAATCGTTTATTGTTCTCCGAGCGTCACTATAAAAACATTTTCTTAAGACGAATATGTTTGTAAACATTTTTGATTTATATCTCGATATAATCAAACTGACAATATTACTGATGAAAAATCTACAAGTATGTCAACTAAATCATGGCTCCTATTAAAAACGAAAAAAATTATACAATTCAAGTGGTTTAAAAAAGAATCTTTTCATGGAGCTAAGCACACCAGTGTATGTGGCGTCATGTCTTCTACGATGAGACAACTACTTATACAAAGCAATAGCTGTCTCTATGATTGATCAATTTGTAATCAAAGTATGGAATGATATGATAATAGTAAATCTTTCTAAATACTATTAGTTCGTTTTTATGTAGAGTGACACAAACACGGTTCTAGCTCATCCTATGATAGAGCTGGCAGCGCGCGGATGATATAAAAAGAAAGCCAACACTTTAATTAGAAAACTGATGTGAAAAGGTTCTCTCCTATCAAGTTTATTTCAAACAAAAAAAACCGAACTTTCTAAAAAAAAAGATATTTACTCACTTTGTAGAGTGACGGTATGAAAATGGTCTTATTTACAACTCGTGAACGGATTGTCAGATTCAGTTCAAATTTTTAGAGAATGTATAAAACAAAAAGTTCTATTAGTGGTAAAAATTTTAGCCTTTGATCCCGTACCGTTCTCGAGAAATTTACATTATACTGAAAAATGTAGAGTGACGTTTTTCAATAAAATAACGTTTTTTATGGTACATTTACATTGAGTAAGTCGTATCTCAGCTAATATGCGGTAAAGTGTTGGGAAATTTTTACTGTATAGCACAGGCATAGAGTATAATAAAATGCACTGATCAGAAATTGTCTAGGTCTACTTTCAGTTTTTCGCATCAATTGCACCAAAAAGTTGCAATTCACCCATATATAGTTGTTTGATCATGTTAATTTTTTCTACTATGTCAACGCAAGGAGTATTCTACTTATATTCCTCATTTAAAATCAGGAGCGAGAACCAATTTATTAAATCTCAAAAGCGTAAAAAAAATCGGTAAGTATACTTTTCTAAGTTCTATTAAGACAAAGAAACTTTAATTTGAAATTTCAAGACAATAGAGCGAGCACTTCACAGTAACATTAGCCGACATTATTTGCTCATATATTGATTATCCCAGATATATATTGATCGAGACGAATATCATAGTTTATAAATATTTATGTACGTCACCAAAAAAAGATACTAATCATTTTTACTAAATCAATTCTTTATACGATATTTTATCATTATACAATCATTGTGAAAATATTTCTTGGATCCAACATCTAGATGAGCACCAACTTATGGTAAAATAACACTGACACGCCATCGTTCATCGTCAATAACGATATAAGTATTTTGAAACATGGAATCATACCAACAGTATTTATAAAATCCAGCAAAGTTATTCAATAATTTAATTTGATGTTGTTTTTCTCTCTTGTATTAGACTTTACAATGGTTCTTCATACCTATCTGCTACAGATTATCATATGTAATTTTTTATATTAAAATAAAATATAATGCTCAGTCATGTTTTATGAATTTTTTTATAAGTATTAATATGATTCGAATGAATAGTATCAGTCGAGTAGCGTCATCTATTATAAATACTAGTATAATTCGAATGGCTCTTGTAGCCACTATACATAAAAAGAATAGTAAAATATCAAGCAAATGAAACATAAAATAATAGGAGGTTAGGATAAGTTTGTTTTAATTTATTATTTGATTGCTATTAGTGTCTAAAAGATCACAGAATACTTATTATTGTATTTCATTCGCACTTCTGATATAAATAAATGAGAATAATCTATGATGACACTATTCACTTGCGTATTATCTGGGCAAGAATCATGAAATACATCATCAACGTTAGTCTGATCTGATTCATTTCTTTCATAGGTGAATAATTTATATTGCTTGATAGTAAATATAATTACGAGAAATAAACCAAAGGTCGAGTTTATCATCTGCGTAGAATTTTATAATATCTATCAATTAAATCGAATAGATCACTTTGCTGCATTTTTAGATTATAGTTATAATCTATATTCCCATCAAACCTATTTTCATTTACAGACTGAGTATCTTAGTAACTCATTTAAAAAATTTTAGTATCAATATAAGTTAAGTATTTTAGAGATCATACAAAACATATTTCAACATGAGTTCTAATTATATTGTAATATGTATAAGCAGAAATTAAAAATTTCCCTTCAAACGAAACAAAATTAGTCAAATGTTTAATTATTTATTTGTTTATATATATGTTCTATATATTTTAGATGCCTCTTTTTCATTTTGGCAATTGTTTAGCATTAGCTTGTGGACCAGTTTTATTAACATATAAATATTCGGGTTTGTAAGTATTACATTGATTTTTCTATATATTATTTTTGTATTCAATTCTTATTTAGAGCTGAATATAATGCATTTTGGAAATGTGTTCAATCGGCAGTTTTTTATTTATTCGTTCAATTCGTTAAAATGCTGATTATAGCTACTTTTTTTCCACCAGTCGATGAATCATCGGTATTTGTTGTTCAAACAGTAAGAATAATTTATATTTTTGTTCTAGAAATAGAAAAATATAATATTTATAGGAATTCTTAAAAAATACAGTCGATATATTAGATCTAGTTGGTTTACATTTTGTTATAACACGCATTTGTGGTAAAACAGATTTGAAATATTTAATTGCAGCTATTGGATGGACTTCCGCTGAAATTATTGTTACAAGGTTTATTTTCTTTTTCTTCTTAATTTTCTTCAATTTGTAAATTTTTTTAAATAGATGTTTGCCATTATGGGTAGGTGCTCGTGGTATTGAATTTGATTGGAAATATATTCAAATGAGTCTTGAATCAAATATTACTCTTGTAAGTTCAACATTCGAGAAAAACAAAAATATTCATATTTTTCTAATAGATTCATTATCTGTCGATGGCTACGCTTGTCTGGCTTCGGACACGTAATGATTTTAATAAATCATATACTCCACTTATTAATGTTCTTCTACTTCTTTCTTGTTATCGACCATTGATTCTCGAGTAAATATCTATTAAAATTAATATTCATTAAAGCGGATGATCCAAAAATGACTATTTTTAACGCACGCTAGAAATGCCATAATACGAAAGTCCTTGTCACCTAGATCACGAATCTGACATCCGTTTGTCTGGATCTGATCCCTTTTTTGTCGGTTTTTCCTATAAGGGGTATTTAGGTCTCTGCAGGGTAGTTCCATGGGGTGTCAAATACAAGTACACAAAGTATTCAGAAAATTTTCTTTTTCCGCAAACTATGTAGAGTTTTTTTCGCTGATCATTTTCGCGTAAGGAAGTTTTGAATTCTATTGAGAAATGACGACGCTATCATCAAAATAAAACACATAGTGGAATACGGTAAAATAGTTTAAATTCCATTTTTTCTTATAAAATATAGAAAAAAGTCGAGTCTCTAATCTCGAACCGGCTATAGTCTCAAGAAATATGACATAGTAGGTCTTGTAGAGAAAACTATGCTCTTTAAAACCTACTATGTCATATTTCTTGAAAATGTAGTCGGTTCGAGATTAGAGACTCGACTTTTTCCTATATTTTGTAAGGAAAAAAATGGGATTTTAAGCTATTTTACTATGTTTTTTATTTTAACGATAGTGTCGTTATTTCTCAATAGAATTCAAAACTTTCTTATACGAAAATGATCAGCAGAAGACGCTCTACAAAGTCTGAGGGGAAAGAAAATTTTCTGAATACTTTGTTTGACATCCCATAAAACTACCCTATGGAAATTGGTAAAAAAAAGGATCAGATCTAGACAAACGGATGTCAGATTCGTGATCTAGGTGACAAGGATTTTCATAATATGACATCTTTAGAGTGCGTTAAAAATGGTCATTTTGGATCACCCCCTTTCATATATTTCTCTATTCAATAGAGTGTTGATACATGCATTTGCTGCTAATTCGTGGATACATTTATTATCGAAATTTTTCTTTACTATATCAGTTGGTCTTACAACTCTTCAACTTTATTCATTATTACCGAATAAATATTAAAACTGATTTCAAATGAAAAATGCAAGATTTGATCAAAACTCAAACTTAATAATTAAAATTATCAACATTACAGCAAATCAACTTTTTTTTGTAAAGAATTTGATTTTTGGTTTTTGTTGGTAAATCTTTAATAAAATAAAGCTTACGCAATAGGTATATTCTCTGTCCTATTATGACTGAATGATGTTAATACAGATTGGTTAGAGAAAAACGGCAAATATCTCAGATTATCATGATTATACAAAAAATATTTTGATTTCTCAAATGGGAATTCATTTAGAACTTTTTAGGTTATCTAGAAACCAATGTAGACAATAGAATATGAACAAATAATTTCTCAACTTCTGACGTCACTCTTTTATCCGTATGTTTACTGAATAAATGTTAATATTTATTGAAAAAAACAAGCCTTCGATTTTACGATGAAATAGCATTAGAAGACTGTAAGATATTTTTCCTAAGAAATCTAATTATAATTAATCATTTTTATTAGGAGATTTGAGTCGATGAATTGAAAAAGATGTATGTCGATTCATAGTTTTAAAAATCGATAGTTATATAATAAAATAAATATTCGTTTAAGTTCGTGTCATGAAATTATTTGAAAAAAAATTGTAATAAATTTCTGTTTTTTTGCTATGTTCAATTAAAAAATTAGTTTATTGAGCAGATATCGGTGCTGAATTTGTTTGTTTTTGTTGAGCAATGGCATAAGCTCGAGCAGCACATAATGTTAAACCATGCGAATGATAATCTGTACGATAATTTGTAGTAAGATCTTGTTTTCCTGTATGACGAAGCCCTCTTTGTTCAGGCACAAAAGCATTTGCTCTTTTACCTAATTTATTACAATTAAATTAAATGTCTTTCTTTTTTGAATAAATAAACTACCTTGTTGTCCTTTGTATGTATCACGATTAGTTGTTGAACCATCGAATTTAGTCGTTGGTGGTACATATACCTCAGATACGGGTTCACCATATTGTCTACTTGATTTTAAAAGTTCATGTGGATGATAATAATATCGAGATGTAGTCATATTTTCCATAGGAATATGTTCCGCATCTTTTGGTAATGCATCTTTCATTGATATCGCACGCATACGCGCCATACTACTCACGTCCAATGGTTGAAAATCTCTCTAAATAAATAGGTAAATTATGTTTCTTTTTTTATTAATTGTATGTAATTGACCTACCTTAGTTACGGTTAATGACTCCATCTTTTGTAATGGTTTCATATAGAGTTTTTGAGCATCTCGAGGTGCTACTGCTGGTGGACGATGATGTCGACTAGTATCAATACCTTCATAATCTGCACGATATTGACTTGCCCTATAAGATAAATTAAATTCAAAATGAATTTATTTTTTTTGTGTGCAAATAAATATAAAACTAACATTACTCTTGGCGTTGTTGAATTTCCTATCGTAATTTGAGATGAAAATGGATCCCCATCGACTGGTAATGGTGGTCGATGATTAGGATAAGCACGAAAATCTGTACTTGTCTGCGATATTGAATCCATTTTACGATGTAAATGAGCATTATCTTCATTCAATTGACCTTTTCTATCAAATGGAGCACTTCGTGGACTGTATTCATGTGGAATATAAGTATCCCGATAACTTGTACTTAAATTGACTGAGCCTTTATTAACATTATTAGATTTTAGATAAAAAAGAGATCATAATACTTACCAGTTTGTCTCAAATTTCCTCGAGTTTCTAATCGACGAAGTGATTTTGTTTTTGATACATTCTTATGTGGTACAAATACACTTCCACTTGATGTACTGAAATTACGACTTGAATCAGGAAATAGAAGGTTACCTAGAGAAGAACAGCTGATAGTTTATTTCTATTCTCTATTCAAATAAAATAAATTATGCAAATAACAGTAAAAGATGCTCTAATAAAACATCTTATTTGATTTTTAAACTGCAATAAATAAATAAATCAAGGTGCATAGCGATTACGAATACTACAAAACGATTTTAGACAAATAAATTTCAATGGATTCATTTAACTTTGGTTGAATTACATAATCAAAATTCCTTTAGAAAAAAACGAACAATTAAAATATGAGAAGATTTTGAAAATCAGATAGTTATAAAACTAAACCATTAATGTTCATGTTTTCAATAAAATCAAGAAATGTGCTCTATGCTTTTTTGTTTACTTAGAAAAACAACATTTTAAATTATTTTTTCTATTGAAAAACATTCGAAAATATAAATTTTTTTCAATCTTCACGTCTTTTTATATAAATTACAATACAAAACATTGAAAAATAAAAGCAAAAACTTTTTCTTCTTTTCATATTTTTCAAGTGCATTTTAAATAACAAAAAAATATATTGTTCTATTTTCTTACCTACAATAGAAGGCGCCTCAGTATAAGGTTCTGATGGTGGCGAATGCCATGATTTAAAATATGTTCCACTTGTTGTCGTAGATGACATTTTTAAAGCTGGATCATCACTATTAACACTAAAGAAAATATAATAAAAGATAAAAATATATTTTTAACACAAACATATTTACTTAGAAATTCCAGTGGTATTCACTGCATGAAGTACAGGAGCTTTAATAGGTTTTTCAACATATTCAGCTTGATAACTACTTTTTGTTTCCATTGGTACTGTTCGTATAAACATCACATTATTTTTCTATGTAAGAAAATTATAGTTTCTCATAGGGAATTAAAATAAAAGTCAATTTACTTGTTTAATCGGTCTAGTTGGTGCATTTTTACTACTATTTCGTGGTGGTGGTTGGTAATGATCGCGTTGTGATGTCATACCAGCCATTGGAGAATTTTTAAATGAAATAGGAATTTCATTTTCAGGTGCCGGTGAACATATTTTACGACGATGATCTAATGGTTTACCTGACGCACTTTTTTGTACTTGAAATGTGTCTTTATAATGTGAAATAGGACAAGGAAATTGTAAAGCTAATTTATCTCTTCGTGATGATAATCGTTTACAATCTGGATGATGTTCATAACCTGCACGATCGAAACAACCATCATCACATAATTCACATGGACATTTATTAAATTTTGGTAAATCAGTAAGTTGCAATTTATCAACGTTCACGTTCTCCAATTTCATTTTTTTGTCACCCGACAATCAACAGAACTACTAAATGAATGATGTCGGCAACCAATTTTGAGTATATTTATTTTGTAACAACAAACAGTAACAAGAAGAGAAAAAAAGACGAGAAAATGAAGAAAGGAAAATGCATTGGCATCAAACTTCAAACGTTTTACACTTGTATATGTGTGTGTTACAGTATTAAATGAGAATTACTTTTATTTTTTTAATGAATACATTGTGATTGTTACTCATGTCTGGTGGAGCTCAAACAACGGTTGTCAATCAAAAAAGAAAACAGTTCATATTTTAATATAAGAGTAAAAAGAAAATTATTTAATAGATTTTATTAAATATTAAGAATATCAAAAAAAATTAATTAACACAGATGTAAACCAAATAATAAATTATTGATGATGTTGTATATTAAGTAGGTTAATATTTGTAAATTTTGCATAATTTATTAACAGGATACATTTTCTAATCAAGGACTTTCGATCGACCATCCTTAGGATGAGTATTTACATACAAATCGATAGATGATATAGTATTGAAAATATGTGCCAAATGAGAGCAGAAAGTTACTCGTTGTTCTTTTTAGTGTCTTCTATATAGTAGTAAAATGTATCGATGGATTTTCACTAAAAAATATGGAACATTTCTTCAGTCAGATATTCTTTTTCTGAATATTAAGTACTATAATCTAATAATTGAATACTAATACAAAATTATTTTCAATATTAGTTTGATTGATATGATCGTACCATTCTTGAATCTTTTAATAAAATAACGGAAAAATTAAATTGTTATTTTGTTTCACATGTCGTGACAGTAAAAAAAATTCTATTTAGAGTAAATTAATGATGAAGAGAATAATGAACTATAAAATAAATTGAACGCTAAGGTATTTTGACAAGCAAAACAATAAGTTAGGTAAAAAAAAAGCTTCAAAGTATTTATAGACATCACAGTCATCAAAATCTAATAAAAAGAATTTTGTGATATGTGCCTCTACAGTTTATATTTTTATTAAATATTCTTTCGATTTGATAATGGATTGACTTTATTCTATATGATTAATCATTTATTTCTGTCAGAGACATTCGATTAATTTTTTCTTTTTTATATTCATATTTCATTTTAGTGTATAAGATAATGGTTCGTATTCATAGTAAATTATTTTACCCATTATCTTTCTCAGTATATTGAACAATTCATTGAATATTATCATTTGTCTGATATTAAATCGGCATGTCGGATAATTTCTATTACTATAGATTTATAAAATGAGAATAGGTTAATTTTCATATACTTTTTCGGATTATTAATATAGTTTTAATTGAAATAATGCTCAAATCTATGCATACTTAGCAACTACTTGGTAATTGACAAAAAAACTAATTGTAGTAAATAGTTGAATGTTCGAACGTACTTAACCGTTCTTTTTCTCGTTTATATCTTTTCAAAATAATCTTGAATACACAGTTTCTTAATTATACATGCTATCTGTGAAACAACTCGTCAGCAAATATTCAAAAAATACGAACATTATAGACATCTTTCCTAAATTGATGATCAAGTGTTCCATTTACCATAAGAATATTTTAGATTTATAGCATCTATTTCTAGAAGAACAACTATAAATGTATTCTATTCTTAGTTCATATTATCCAAGTATTTTATTTTTTTGTTTATTAGAATCTATATGAAAAAATCTTATGCGCATAATATAATAACAAGTAGAGGTAGAAGCCGATTTCATAGAATGATGGTAATGGCATAGCCTATTGGTTCACGCACATACAAGTAACTGACTAAGTTAATGAAGAAGAAAAAGGAATTTCCTCGCTATAAGCAGAGAGAAAGAAAAAAAAAGATTTTTTTTTCCTCTTCCACAAGAAAAAAACAGACTTCGTTATTTAGTTTTTTTTTCTTATACTTCATTCACAATGTCTTCATCATCCGCAAACGTTTTGTTCATAGTATTTTATCTCGTTATTTTTCTATTTGCTACATCTGATCTTAAACGATTTATTTTTCATGTTCATATTTCACGTGTCGATCGTGTACCTGTTGAGTACGATATTGATTCATCATCAACATCATTAGCATTATGGTATCCAATATTAATTGGTATTATTTTTAATATATTCATTTTATTATTTTCCATGGTAAATTTAATCATTATCTTATGTCAACGAAATTTATCAAGTCAACTTTTTATTTCAACATTTATTCTATCATTATTATTTACAATTCGATTTATTATCAATATAACTGTTACAAAAAATCGAAATGGTCTTTCAACACCAACGCTTGTTGAACGATCTTTTTTTGCACCGTCATTATCATTAGAAGAAGAACTGACAACAATAACTATGGATTGGTTTATTAAAATAATTGGTTTTATTAGTACATTTATTATGTATCATCGAAAAAAACAAGGACAATCAATGAATATTGAAAATCAACATGAACTAAAATTAATGTCTGATTTTGAATAAAATCTAATCTTTTAAATATGACGTTAGTTTTTTCTTCTCCTTATCAGTATTATCATTACCTGTAGCACCTCCATATATATATAATAAAATATGTTACATTTAGTATTCATTCATTTGAAAATGTTGTCTTTTATCTTTTTCTTATTTTGCACTCTATGCCCAAATATAATTTCTCAAAACTCTCCATATCGATTTGATCTAGCTATTCATCAATTAAATCAATATCAAAAGTTTTTACCTATAAATCCAACTAAAGATATACAATACAATCTTACTGTGGAACAAATGTTACAATATAACATGTTCTCCTCAATTTCAAATAATAAGACAACTCAATGTGAACAAGATTTTGAAATAATTCTTCAAGCAGCATTAAAAAGTGATATGTGGGCTATTAAAGTAATCGATGCTTGGGGAAAACCATTGCCATCTGGTATATTGAAAGGTAATACTTTTTGGGTGGGCAATTATGACGAATGTTTACAACCAATGTATTTACCAGCTAATAAATCATTTATTTCACAACCATTCAATACACAACATTGTTAGTATTAATATATTTATATTTTAATTTTATTTCAATATTATTTTTTAGGTGTTGTGTCATCAAAATCATCTCAATCAGATCCGAATTCAATGCCACCTATTGTTCTTGGAATTTGTGTTCCGTCATCATGTGATCATCAAGATGTTGCTTTGTTAGTTCAGAAATTATATAAAAAAACTAATATTACAGAAGATGATATTGTCTGTTCGAATGATCCTGCAAACGGACAACAAAATCTTACAGCTGGAGCAATAGCAACGATTATTATTCTATCACTTTTAGCTTTACTTGTCTTAGTAGGAACAAGTATTGATTTACTTAATGATATAAATGCACAACTTATTGGATCTAATTATCTAAATGAATCTGATTCAAGAACATTATCACAGGATTCTCCTTATATTTCGTTGAAAAGTAAATCATATATGATATTTTTAGCTGAATTTTCAGCATTACGAACTCTTCGTCGAATATTTACAATGAAACAAAAGAATGATGATAATTCATTTTTATTTATTAATGGTATTCGAGTTTTATCTTTATGTTGGGTTATTATTGGTCATTCATTAGCTTTTGGTTTATTTTATACAAGTAATATAGTAGATGTACTTGTCTGGAGTCATAATATCTTATTTCAATTGATTATAAATGCAGTTTTTAGTGTTGATACATTTTTTGTTCTAAGTGGTTTCTTAACAGCTGTACTATTCGTTCGACATGTAGAAAAAGAAAAAAAATTATCATTTCGTACGATGTTGCTCTATTATGTTCATCGATATATGCGACTTACACCAGCATTTCTTTTGATGATTCTTGTAAGTATCAATTTAACACCATACTTTGGTAGTGGACCTGTTTATCCTGTTAAACAAGGATTTGAATCAGAGGGCTGTCGAAATGAATACTGGTGGACATCAATTCTTTATGTTGGTAATATAGTAAAACCAGATAGTATGTGTTTAGGAATAGCATGGTATCTTCATAATGATATGCAATTTCATTGGATTGCACCTTTATCTTTAATACCGTTTGTCCTTGGACGAAAAATCTTATCTTTTTTTATCGCTGTATTTTTTGTTTTCATTGGGATTGGATCCATTTTAACCATTCTACTTTATTATCCAGATATGTCATTAAATGTTCTACTTGCATTCAATAATGTTGTAAGTTTTCTATATTTATTAATATAAATTGTCAATTATCATTTTTCTACAGCCTGGTCCTACTTTTTACAAAAACATCTATATTACACCTTGGTGTCGTATATCTGCATATGCTGTTGGTATTTTAACTGGATATTTTGTTATTAATACTGGCCGACATTATCGAATTAATAAATATGTCAAATTTTTTGGAACTATATTAATGATTTTGTTTAGTTTAATTTGTATATTTACAACTTATCCTGATTATATTCTAGCAGATGGTTTAAATCGAACAATACTAGTTATATATCAATCACTTTCACGAACACTTTGGGCAATAGTTATTGGATGGGTTTTATTTTTATGTAGTATAAATCAAGGTGGAATAGTAAATAAAATTCTTTCATGGCCTATTTGGGCTCCATTATCTCGATTGAATTATTCATGTTATCTAGTACATGCTGTGATACTTAATATTATTTTATACAATCAAAAATTACCTTTGTATTATCAAGGACATCTTATTGTGAATAATTTTGTTTCACATATATTTTTTAGTTATTTAGCATCAGTTGTAGTTGCAATCTTTTTTGAAACACCTTTTTTTATTATTGAAAAGAAAATATTTAAACGATAGATTTTCTATCTTGAAATAAATAAATACTGTAATTTGAATTATCATAATAGATCATTGAATATGAATCCAACACAATTTAACATAAGAGCTTTCAGAATCAAAAAACTGAAAAATATTTCATCGGAGTCTTCTTTATCTAATACTATTTATAAATAAATTTATGAAATTATTTAAGTTTCGTGCTTTATAGAGACAACTCAGAGGTGAGCATATACGAACTTTGTCGAGTTCGAGTACGAGTACGCATCCTTAGGGTTCGAGTATTTTGCCTACATCTGAAACAACTTGCTTTTATTTTCTTTTTTTTTTACTGAATTTTATAACTTTTTCGACCTTCATATGAATCTTCATATTTACCTGGTAAACTTAGGTAACATTGTTTATATCTAGAAACAGAGCATGATATACTCTTATAATACATTTTGTCAAAACCCTATGATAAAGATAAAAAGATGACACCATTTCATATTGAAATAATGATGACGCTATGTCAACTGTTTCTTATCATTATTCTGAGTAATAATATAAATAGGTGTTTATACAAATTTTGAAAAAAATAAAAAATGTCCTTTCTTGTTTTTCTCTTATTGTTAATATCCAGTGTTGTTTGTCATCAAGAATATCAAACAATTCCATTACGTCATGATGCAGCTATTAATTATCTTATTCAACATCAACATTCTAACTTTACTAGTCTTTTAGACGGTATTTCCACATACACTATTGCATTGAATGAAATATCTTCATATATATCATTATTTTCTAATAATGAAGTAACTCAATGTGAACAAGATTTTGAAATAATTCTTCAAGCAATTTTAAAACGTGATACGTGGGCTTTGAAAGTATTTGATGCATGGGGAAAGCCATTGCCATCTGGGATTTTGAAAGGTAATACCTATTGGGTAGGTAGTTATGATGAATGCTTACAACCAATGTATTTACCAACAAATAAATCATTTATTTCACAACCATTCGATACACAGCATTGTTCGTATAATTTATCTTTGTGATATATTAAATTAAAATGATTTCTTTTCTTTTTTTAGGTACTTTGCATTTGGATTTGTCAACATCACAACAAATAACAGGAGTAGCAAGTCTTGTTCTTGGAATTTGTGTTCCATCATCATGTCATCGACAAGATGTCGTTTCTTTAATGCATACTCTTCTCAACATTAGTAATATTAAGGAAGATGACCTTCTTTGTTCGAATGATCCTGCAAATGGTCAATCAAATCTTACAACTGGAGCAATAGCAACGATTATTATTTTGTCACTTTTAGCTTTACTTGTTTTGGTAGGAACAATTATTGATATTGTTTTTATGTCAAAAATTGATTCAGTGAATGATATAAATGCACAACTTAGTGGATATAATCATTTAATTGACTCTGAACCAAGAATGTCATCACGAGATTCTTATCGTAGTCGAATGAAAAGTAAACCATATGTAATATTTTTAGCTGAATTTTCAGCATTAAAAACTCTTCGTCAAATATTTACAATTAAACAAAAGAATAATAATGAATCATATCAATTTCTTAATGGTATTCGTGTATTATCTTTATTCTGGGTTATTATCGGTCATTCTTTTCTTTTTAATATACTATTTACCAGTAATATTCTCGATATTTTCACATGGTCTCGTAATATATCTATGCAATTAATTTTAAATGCTACATTTAGTGTTGATACATTCTTTGTTCTAAGTGGATTTTTAACAACAATTTTATTTGTTCGACATGTAGAAAAACAAGGAAAATTATCTATTCGGTTAATAATTCTCTATTATGTTCATCGATATATTCGACTTACACCAACATTTCTTCTTGTTATTTTAATTAGTATTAATTTAACACCTTATTTTGGTAATGGTCCAGCATATCCAACTCAAGTAGGTTTCGAAGCACCTCAATGTCGTTCTGAATATTGGTGGACATCAATTCTTTATGTTGGTAATATAGTAAAACCAGATTATATGTGTTTACCAATATCATGGTATCTTCATAATGATATGCAATTTCATTGGATTGCACCATTATCTTTAATACCTTTTGTTATCGGACGAAAAGCAATTGGTTTTATTGTATCTATTTTATTTACTCTTATTGGTATTGGTTCGATTGCAGGTCTTTTAATATATTATCCAAGTTTACAAGCTAGTAATAGCCTAACACCACCTCAAGTAAATTCATATATAACAGTTAAATAAAATATTTTCTATGATTTTTTTCTAGACTGGTCCTAGTTTTTTCAATACAATCTATATTACTCCATGGTGTCGTATATCTGCATACTTTATAGGTGTTCTCACTGGTTTTTTCGTTATTAATATAGGTCGTTCATATCGTATGAAAAAATCTCTTTTAATAATTTGTAACATAACAGCAATTCTATTTGCTTTGATATGTCTTTTTGCAATATATCCTGATGAAATTCTAGTACCTGGTATTGATAAAACATCATTTATTATCTATCAATCACTTTCACGAACACTCTGGTCAATGGCTATCGGATGGTTATTATTTTTATGTATGACAAATCAAGGTGGTATAGTAAATAAAATACTTTCATGGTCTTTTTGGGTACCTTTAGCTCGTTTGAATTATTCGACATATTTAATTCATTTAACAGTGATTTATATGAGTATTACAAATCAAAGAATACCTTTTTATTATCAACCACATTTGGTTGTGAATAATTTTGTTTCACATATATTCTTTAGTTATACAACAGCAATTTTGATATTTATTTTTATTGAAACACCATTTTTTATTATTGAAAAAACATTATTTAAACGTTAAAATATATCAATATGATAATCATTCATATGAGACCCGTTAGTGACGAGCTTCTGAATATATTTATACAACAAAAGTCCGTTGCTAAGCGGGTAACTAATGAATAAATGTTTGAGTACTAACATAATGAATAGTTTTACCATTAATATTATCATTTACTTACTTGAATAAAAACTACTATTTCTTCTTTTTTCTTTCTTTTGTCATTTCTCGTTCGATCGATTGGTAATGAATCGTGCTTATGCATTGTCGATGTATGTTAGTAAGACTTATACTCAGCACACGTTCACATCAAATATTCACTTTGTATAATGGGTATGGAAGAAAAAGAGAGAGAGAGAGAGATCGTTTTTAAAGACGAAGAGAGAATGAGATCCGATCTGTCTCGGGAATGGTCGACAGCTGATTGTTCTTATATATATATATGTACGTATGTGTGTCGAATAAAAATTAACTTTTATGCTGATCTCTCGTTTTTCTCTCTCTCTCCCTCTCTCTCTTCCATCTTGAATCACTCAATCAAGCAATTGAGTGATAAGGTGTGGTGACGGCAACGACAATCACCATACATACAAATCGTTCTAACAGACATGTGAATGCATCGACAATTAGAAGCAATGATTGAATAAGTATAAGAAAGAAAAAAAGTTTAAAAAAAAAAACGAGTAAAAGAATGAGTGATGTGCAATCGACTATGGAAGAATGAACAAGGAAGAAAAAGGAATAAGAGTAGACACAGCTGATGCCAAATACGACAATGAATTTTTTATATCTTGAAATACAACATACATTGTCATTTTATTCGTTAGAAATAAGTGCATACGAGTGATGATCAATGAATGTTATTAAACTTTTCAAAGTAATGCTATGCCTCATCAATTCAATATGTTCGCAAATATATATATATATACGTAGAAAAGTATCAAAGTCTATCATGTGTAAATATTTTATATTTTATATTGAATGTAATAAACTTAAAAAGCGCCATAATATATAGTTATTTTGTATTCATTGTATTTTATAGTTACTTTTTTTCTCAATTTACTATATCTATAGAAGAAAATTACATCCGTAGGCGGAGGTTTTTTTCTTCATAAAGCTTCTTATACTTAGTTCTTACTTTCAAGTTTTGTGTGAATACTAAAAGATAATGATTTACAAATGTATTAACAACATAGGCAATGAATAGATTGCACAATTATCGTATTGAGAATAAAAATTAAAACAATATATATAAAGTACTAACATTGAACAACGCAATTTTTTACAATTCGAAAATTTTTGATTAAACTTTAACATGAATAGAAAAACAAATGACTTTTCAAAAGTCATACTTTAGTATATATGGATGAATATCAAATTTTTGTTTTTGAAATCACAAATGAAGTGAGAGTGAGATAACTTTCTTATTATGTACGATCAAGTTTATCTTATACATATCAGTTGATAAAGAGTAATTTAATAGATGATTTTTACGAAAAAAAGAGATCAAAGAAATGTTTATATGAATCATTAACATATTTCGATATCGTTCAATTACGAGAAAAAATATCTTCGAATCAAAAATCTTTATCTTTATAAGATACTATTATTGTTCGAGTTAGAGTTACGTAGGAATGAGTACAAGACGAATATCTCGAGAATGACTTGAACTAGCGATCTGTTGTTTGCATCAATTCAAAGAAATAAAGTCAAAATGTCATTTTCTAAGATAAAATATATGATAACTTTTTTTAGAATTAGTCACCTCTGAAGCAAACATCCAATAGAATACATGAAAGTCACCTACCACCTTGACAAATTTCGTTGTTGATCTTCCATTTAGATAGAGATATAATACAGATAGTTTAGTAACTAAATTTCAATGATGTGTAAGTAATAGAAAACTTAGTTAATTATTACTGTGCTGCCACATTGTTTATCAAAACAGTTTAACATTCCGATGAAAAGTAAGAAAGTACATTATATCTTGAATTATAGATTTAGATACTAAGTCATTTTCATGCATTCTTTGGTATGATGATTAATTTTTAAAGGATTTCTTCTTACATATTACTGAAGGCAAAGGTATCTCGACTTAGGCTCTTTTGATTGATAAAAACCACAGGTCGGTACCTATTACGATTTTCGAACTATTTGTCTTACACTCATTTCTACATAATTCTATCGCCAACAATAATTTATAATAAAAAGATTCATACATATATGAATGTCATCTTCTTTGAATAGACGGTTGAATGAATGAATAGTGACTAATCATGATGTCTATACGATTCTTTGTACATTATTAGATATATATATCCAAATAGAAGAAAGATAACGTAATGCACTTTATATACATATGTATGCATTCTAAGCATAATTTGACGAAAAATTCTTTTTCTCGAGTTAATACATTCGTTTTTATATCATTTTATTTATCATAAAAGGAAAACTTCACAGCTGTATATATCACCATCAACAAACAATTTAGATAAGAATTGGTATGAAAGTTAAAGGAGATTATAAATGATTCAACTCTTTTACCTCAATCGATTGAACTGAATTATAACCTTCTCAATATATTTTAACCCCCGAACTGATAAGAGTATGCACTAATAGTATATGACCTCGATCGTTATTATATATATATATACGTATGTATCTGAACGAATATATTCATACATTTCTATCAGTCAGCGAAAATGATAGTCTGTCGTTTTCTTTTATTTATTGTATTGATAAATACATTATTAGCTTATGAATCATGGACATTTCCACGAAGTACAAGTTTTCATCATACATTAGAATTATTTCATGCTCGTGCAACAACTTCACATTCATCATTTTCATTTACATTATCATCGCTTCTATCATTTGTTGTTAATGAAACACATTGTCATGATGATTTGTTATTATTAATGAATGGATTTCTACAAAAAGAAAAATGGGCATTAAAAATTATCGATTCATGGGGTATAAAACCACCAGCTGGTCTTCTCGAAGGATCTCATCTATGGTTAGGTTCATATGATGAATGTCTTCATCCACTTTATTTACCAACGAATCAAACTCATGTTATACAACCATATCATACAAAATATTGTACAGTTTCTAGTCCATCTAATACTACTGATGATGATAATGTTTTCTTTGCAAAACCAGCATTAATTATTGGAATCTGTTTACCAATATCATGTCATTCACATGATTTTCATATAGAGTTAGTTATTTAGTTTAAATCAAAAAAGAAATAGTAATTTTTTTTTTAGATCTTTAGCAATTCAATGTAGATCCGATGAAAGATATTTTTCAATAGGAACAACATATACAATAAGTTTAATTATTTTACTTAGCTTATTTGTATGTTTTGCAACATTTATACCTTTCCTAAATGAATATTCTCCAATAACAACATTGAAAAAAATTTTTTCATTAAAAAAAAGTCCTTCAACATATTCGTTTATAAATGGAATACGTGCAATTTCATTATTATGGATTATTCTTGGTCATTCATATATTTTTTATTTGACTATAGCAGATAATGTTGTTCATATCTTTGATAATATACATAATTCATTATTATTACAATTAATAGTTGGTGCTGTATATGGTGTAGATACATTCTTTTTTATTAGTGGATTTCTAGCAGTATCTGTATTTGTTACTACATTTCAAAATCAAAGTAAATTATTTTGAAAAAAAAAAGAAATTGATAAAATAATTTTTTTTGTTTTTTAGATGTATTTCGTATTCAACATTTATTTTGTTATTATTTTCATCGTTATTGTCGATTAATTCCAACATTAGTATTTGTATTACTTATTAGTATGCATTTAACTCCATGGATGGGATCAGGTCCAATTTTTCCAACAGTGAATGGTTTCGAAGTACCAACTTGTCATAAGCATTGGTGGGCAACGATATTGTTTCTTAATAATTTTGTATCACCAACACAAGCATGTTTACCAGTAACTTGGTAAATACTAGAAAATTTCTATTTCATATATATTTATAAATAGATGTTTCATTACTGATGTCTTTCCATTTTCCTTAACTCTCGGTTACCGTCCTCATTTTATAACTTGAATAGTGTCCGGGGGTCCACGCGGATCCATCTCGTAAAAATTACAGAAAATGATGATTTTGCTTTATGTAAGGTATTCATTTATAAATTATAAAGTTCCAAATACCCTCCTCTCTACAGACTTATTTATTGCTTGTTATGGAGGCAATATAAGAACGCACGATGCGAAGAAAAAAAATTGACTTATACTAGTTTTTATCAAAGCGTAGTGAAAATTTAGCAACTTACAAAGAAAATGTGAGTTACTGTTATGAGAGGCGAACGTGCAAACGAATCTGAACGTTTTTAATTTGAAAATAAATCGATACGCAACAGATGGTAGTTATAGAAAAGCGAAAAATCATATCTAAACCTTCATTAGTGTCCTGGGTCCGCGTGGACCCATATCCGCATTTTTTCTCTCTTAGATCTGGGCATGATTTTTCATATGGATATTGTATACCTATTAATGACTAGAGGTTACATAAAACAAATGACTCGAAACAGTAAATAGTTATGTGATGCGAGACGACAATCTATAAAGTGGGTCCACGTGGGCCCCACAACAGTAACCGAGGGTTAATCAGAGCCAATTATCTACCTAGGAATCTTACTTAATCTCTAATTTTTGTCATAGAAATCCACTAAATTTTAATAGCATCTTGCCGAGAATATACACAATTGTATAAATTACAAAATCGATCGATGTTAATACTTGTAATAGGATGATAATGTCAAGCACTTAAAATAGCGAAACCAAAGACTATATATAGTAACCACAGGTGAGCAAAGCCAACTCCGGAGTTGACGTTTTTTTACCTGGAGTTAGATTTGATATCGCAAACATCGGGGTTGGAGTTGGAGTTGGAGTTGCCCATCTCTGATAGTAACACTAAACAATTATTACTCTTGTACTAATAACTATACTCTCTATTCTAAATGGAGAATCAATTATGAGATTAGTACAATCGATATAGAAATCATATATTTAATTATTTTCTATTTTATAAAAGGTATATTGCAAATGATTTTCAATTCCATTTATTAGCTCCAATACTTCTTATACCATTTATATTAAATCGTCGTCGATTAACATATGCATTATTATTGATTATTCTTTTGATAAATATAATTACTACAATATGTATAATTAGTAGAAATCCACATTTTGAAGGAGGTTTAATTGATTTTGATAGTCCATCATTGGATTTTTTCGAGAAAGTTTATATAACTCCATGGTGTCGAATTGGTCCTTTTATTATTGGTATGATAACAAGATTAATTATTGAACAATATCATTCTACATTATCTAAAATTAAAATTATTCTCTATACAATCATATCAATTATTCTAGCAATGATTTGTATCTATTTTCCATTTTATTCAACTTATTTTCCTAAATTTTTTGGTATTATCTATCAATCATTATCTCGTCAATGTTGGGCAATAGCAGTTGGTTGGTTAATCTTTGCTTGTTCTACTAATCATGGTGGATTAATAAATAAAATTCTTTCATGGCCTCTTTGGACAATTATAGCTCGTTTAAGTTATTCAGCTTATTTAATTCATCCAATAATTATTCTTACACAAGTTTATAATCATTTAACAACTATTCATTATCAAACAAGTATAGTTTTGAATAATTTCATATCACAAATTATTCTAACTTTATTTACATCAATATTTGTTGTTATACTTGTTGAAATGCCATGTAGTTTATTCGAAAAACAAATACGAAAACATTATAATGATAAAAAACAAATGCCAATAAATCAGCAAACATATGGAACTATAAGTTAGATTTAAACAAAAAAAAACATTAGAAAGTATTTCCAATTTTTGTAAAATTTCAAATTTAATAATAAATATAATTCTTAGAATATACATAATTATCGTTGAATTTTATCAGTTGGTTTTTTCCATGTTCTGAATTATTCGATAACGTCATAGAAAACATTTATTGCCTATGCAATTACCTTTTTTTATCGCGCTCTTTACAGAGCTGCGTGATTCACTTTTCTATATTCGATCTTGCGAAATAATAATGCAAGTTTTTGTTTTATATTTTTAAAATTTAAGCATCGGTTTTATTAATTTTTTTTTCGTTAAAAAAAATGATAAAAAATTAAACTATTTAAATATATCGATAGAAGGACCAGGACGTAAAAGTGCAGTTGATAATGCGTTCTGAGCAAATGATCCAGAAGGAACATAATTCTGCGCTGAAGAAGGATCTTGTCGTGCAGCAATCTGAATATCACTGATACCACCTGAAGAAACTACATGATCAATAGGTTGTCCAATCAAAAATTCATCAAATGGTCGAGCTTGAATATAAGCACTTCTATGATAATGTGAATGATAATACCTCGGCATCCTATCACTCGTTTGATGATGTTCGTACAAATGCAAAATAGTCATGTAATGTACCTGTATATATATACATTGCCTTACGTGGTTTAGTTTTTTTTTATTTCGTAATAAGAATAAGTAGAAAACATTTTCCTTTTCTTTCTGATATTAAATATACATGTTATTTTATTTCGTAAGAATAAGAAAAAAAAATAATTTAACGTGACTTTCTGTGTGGAGTGCGTTGTTTACGAATAGTTGACGATGCGTGTACTGGATTAAATTTAGGTGATTGAGTAGCATGATTTTTGACCAAAACATTTCTCTTTGTTCCACTAGATTCATGTTTATACCATTGATTATCATTTGAATTTGATTCATCATATTCATAAGTATTGTTTACAAATCTCATCATTTCATTGGCAACTCGATTGTATTGCCGAATTGTTCGGGAACCCATACCAGTTGAATTGTTGACTGCCATATTTGCTTTTTATAATAATTCAAGGTGTTTAATATAAATAGATAGAATACTTACTTGAAATTTATATAAAGTATTAAAAGCACTCGTGCGTAACTAGCTCGTTGTTATGCATTGAATCATAGGGTAATGTCATACCTGTACTTTTCTTATTAAAAGAAAACAATCAAGTCACGAATATTGTGTTTAACGAGCAATTCGTACACTCTTTTCTGTCATTAATCAAAGCATTAACAAAAATAATTTTTTTTTCTCATGGGCGATATCAGGGAATGTATCTATTAGTAGACAAAATCATGTCTTGATTTTTACCAATCACCTAAATACGTAAATTGTTCATCATTTATTATATTTAATCGATATATTTCTTTTTTTATGTTTTCTCTTTTTTTTCTTCTGTTCAATTTTTTTTTCATTATCTGGATTTAATGGAGATTCTTCTGTTATATTTGATGGTGATTGTATTTCAGTATTTAAATTTTTTGTTAACATTTCTGGTGAAACAACTACAGTACGTCCAAGAAGAATATCATTAAAAAATTCTTCACCTAATGAACGACGATATACATCTAAAACAACAGTCATTTCATTAAATTCATGTTTATAAACAGTAAATCGAAATAATTGATCATAAATTGTATCATTATATTGTTCCAAAGAAACAATTGGTCCATATTTACTATGAGAAGATTCTATATGTTCTTGAGGTATAATAGGAGAATCATGTATAGCAACTGATGCATGTACATAAACTTGATAAGCTTGTTTAGCAACACCTGTTGCACGTAATGAATGAACATAAATATTTAAACAATCGTTTTTAGCATCATAAAAAACAGTAGCACGAATTTGAATAAGACCAATAGCTGATGGATCACCATATTCTATAATAAAATTTTATCTTTAAGATTAATGTTCATATTTTCCATACCAGGAAACAAATTTCTCCATACAGCATGTCCTTTTGCACGTTGTGCAATAAGTAAATGATCAAGAGGATAATATGTAGTACCAATAGGTGTATGAAAAACATCTTTATCAACTTCATGTACAGTTAATTTAAGTATATTGTATGAAAATTCAGAAAGATTTATATTAAATAATGTTTCTGCCATATAATCTGGATTAGAATTTTCTTTAATAATATCTGTTGAAAATGAAAGATTTAATTTCGGTAAGATTTCTGCTCGAACAAATGTTGTTGGTTCACAATTTGTCATCGAACGAAGACAACGTGCTTTAATAATTGTTAAATATAATTGTCTTAAATATGGATTATATTCAAGAAAAAACCATATTCGTCCAAGATTATTCTTAGTTGGATATGGATCAGATTCACCGAAACCTTTCTTAATTAATCTAATAATATCATCGGATAATAATGGATGATCTTTATTTCGAGGATATGATTCCGTATGAATTCGACGTGCTTCTGCAGCATCAATTAAATCCGGATAATTTGCTAATACAGGTGTACGTAATTCATTCCATTGATTAATAGAAGCATCATTCGAATTATTAATTGATGGATGATCTAACAGTTCAGGAGAAGAAGTTAGATTATTCAATTCACGAGCTATCAAAATAAGAAAAAGTCTTAATCAGATATTTGAAATCTAGTATAATCAATTAATGAGAAGCTTATTAGCGCAGCCCGGTTAGGGCTAAAAATGTGGAACTCACGTATGTACGCATCAAAATATCTGATCACGTTTAAGTGCTTTGTTTTCTTTTTTTGCTCAAATTTAATTAATTTATAGCTATTTTTGACAATTTTTGGTTATTTTTATTAAATTTGCAGTAATTTATGGCTATTTTTAATGATTTTTGCTTATTTTTATTGAATCTGGGGGGGGGGGAGCTGGAAAACTTGAACTTAAAACTTACGCTCACGATTTTCTTCGAAAGTTTACGTGAGTTCTACAAAAAGTACAATAGTGTGAATAGTCTATTGTCTTAACAATTATAGTGATAATTGACTACTGGAAATAAAAATTCAAATGTGAGTAAAATTATGCAAGGAATGATAAAAGAGAAACAGTTTTATACCGACTTCTTTTTAAGAAGCAAGTCAAGTATTAAAATTTTAATCATCTACATTTCTACTAATACTATTTTTCATTGTCTAACAATAGGAGTAGATATTTCAATAAAAATTTTAACACTTGTTATAAAAACGCACTCGTTTTATATTGTGTTTTGTCTATATGTAATACACTATTATTCTTTGGTATTATTCTTTCTTTCGATTGTTCAAATAGAAATTTCGATGATACTTCAGGCATTGAATATTTAACTTGTTGATTAAATACATCGTTTTCTTGTTTTAGTGGATGTAAATTAATAGAATTTTTTGTTGGATTGATTGATTGATAAGTATATGATGATAATCTTGCATAATTTGAATGAGAAAATATATAAAGAAGAAAAACAATGAGAAGACTAATAGGTAATAGGATCCATAACCAATGATACTCTTTTTTACTAGATAAACATATAAATGAATATTCACTTTCACAAGTCATTTGTTTCGCGCGTATTTATGAGAGAGATTCTTTCCTTCATTCAATTATGACAAAAGAAAAAAAAAGAAGAAGAAATAGTACACATTGTACATAAGAGAAGAAAAAAACGTTTGATGTTCTATGTAAAACTACTACAACATGAATTATTTGCAGCTGCTGGATTTGATGTTGTTGATGAATATCCTGGTTTAATTGTTTGGGGAATATGTTGTTGTGAGAGTGTATTAGATTCTTGTTTCATTGAATCCATACGAGCTGCCCAATGACGATATATATCTGCAATAAGTGTTCGAAATGCTTGTTCAACATTTGTTGAATCTAATGCTGATGTTTCAACATATCTAAGAAAAAAAATATAAATCTTAATTAATTTATTTGAAAAGAAATTCTTACTGAATATTTCTTTCATCAGCATAACGTTTAGCATCATCATGAAGAACAGCACGTATATGTCGTTGATCTAATTTATTTCCTAGTAAAATAATTGAACAATCAATACCAGCATTAGCTCGTACTTCATTATACCTAAGAAAATTAATTTTATAAAAAAATAAAATTTTCGTTGTTGTTTTTTTCTTCTTACCATTGATCAAGATTTTGGAATGTTGATGCTTTAAGAATATCAAAAACAACAAGAGCACCTAAGGCATTACGATAATAAGCTTTCGTAATTGCCATGAAACGTTCTTGACCAGCTATAGATAATATACAAAAACAAATGTATGTTGTTTTTTTCTTTTTATTCAAAAAAATTCTTACCAGTATCCCATATTTGTACTTTAATAGTTTTTCCATCGACTTGTACTTCTTTTGTGGAAAATTCTACACCGATTGTTGAACGACTTTCAAGTGAAAATTCATTTCGTGTAAAACGTGATAATAAATTGGATTTTCCAACACCGGAATCACCAGTTAAAACTATTTTAAATATATAATCAGCTGTCGATGATTCTGCCATAAATTTCTTATTTTGCTTATTCTGAAATAAACTATATCAATAAATAATGGACATATTTATATACTCAAGGATCAATTCTCTATGTGAGTCATCATGCATGTCAATAGAGAAATAAGAAAAATAAGAAATCCTATGGCGTGATAGAACACTCCAGAGAAAGGGAAGTTGTAAATTGTTAACCAATTCATGTATATTTCATTTTCTCAGACTCAGTATCAGAAATCTATGAATCAGACGAAAAATAACTAGTTAATGTTATTTTTCAGTTGCCAAGGTATTTAACTGGAAATGATGAAGTTGATGTCTCATCAGTCATGACTATGTGTATGCGCGTTCGTCATCAGCTCGTCAATGTTGGCAAGAGAAAGTGAAAGAAAATAACGACCGTTTTTTTTTCTTCTTCTTCTTAACTCAATGAGTAGAGAGAGAGAGAGAGAGAAAAGGAGGTGAGTCACACATTCTTCTATTCGTCTCGTCGGCGTTCACTTTGCACAATATTAATACCATAGTTCGACGACAGTCTAAACTAACAGCAAGAAGGAGACATAAAGAAAAATAAAAACGGATAAAGAACGAGGAGAAGGAAGGAGAAGGAGAAGAAGAAAAGCAAAGAATGCAGTATACATTTCTCGTTTTTGTACATTTGTATTATTCGTTGACCAAATAGCAAAGAATAAAAAACAGAAGTCTATTGTATTTCAATTTCTCTATGTTATTGTATATAGACTATAGATATAATATTAAAAAACAAGGACAATTTTTGAACTTAAAAGAATGAATTTTCCTATTAAATAGCAAAAGTATTTTAATGAAATATTAATCTTTACTTTTTATATAATATGATAATAGTCTGATATAGAATCACTTGAAAAAAGGTTTGAATTACAAGCAGTTGTATGTAGACCTTTATCGATCTGATCAAATTACTCTATGATAAATGTAAAGAATCTATTTTATAAATATCTCCTTCAATGATTTAATAAAATATGTAATTATTAATATTAAATAAATTTAATTTGTCGATGATAATATTATTAGATCGGACAGAATTGACTATCAACGTCTTGCACGTTAGGATATATATTACAACAGTTATCATACGAGCACGTATTTTGATGTCCTTGCTTATCTCATATCCTTCGTTGTAGTATATATATATTCTATATATGCTGATCTTATTCTTCTTTTTTTGTATGTGATGAGAATAACATTTTGTAATGTTTTTTTGCCTGAATTTAATGTGCGCTTTATGTTATTCTTTTACGTGAAAAAACATTTGTTTTAATGTGATTATTATGAAGCCTATTATGATGAATATCTTTTCAGTGAGTCATCTCTACCATAGTTTTCTAAAATATGATTAATATTTAAAGTTTATTTGATTAATTCAGAATAAGTTGATATATTATTTATTTAGTCTATAGAAATTCAACTATTGGGAACACTAGTATAGTAGATGATTCATAATGAACTCTCTACTTCAAGACTTGCGCCTTTTGTCTCGCTCTACATTCTTAAAATTTACTATGCGAAGTGTATAATAACATAGAGGATATTGTATACATTAATATTAAAATAGTTTGTTTTATATATCAGATTCATAGTTATTGATCTGCATATTTATCATAATATTATTATTTCAATGGCAATAGTATACATTAGTAAGATAAAGACTATTTACCAATCATTATCTCTTATTAAGAATAGAAACTAATATTATCATAATCATACTGTTTGTTTGTCCTAGTAGATGTGTAAGGTTTAGTAATTCAAAATCTTATCGAACAATGAACAAGTACTGTAACATGATCTACACATCAAGATTTTGTTTTAAAACTTTAGTATAACCTGCGTGTAAAAAATCTTTGCTCGATTCTTGTCTTTTTATTGGTTATCTAGAATGGCAACGTCATGCTCTTTCTATACATATACTGAGAATCCTCTTTTGTTTTAAAGTTTACTCATCGAGAGCAAAACTTTGATGGAAATTAAAAACGACGTTTATACAGATTTTTCATGCAGTTCAGTTTTGTATTTTAATAAAAATAAACTTAATTCTAATTATATATGAGATTGTTTACGTATCAGTTTGTAGAATGAAGCTTACTCTTATTACTTATCTATTTCGATACGGTTAGAACTCACACGTTAAATTTTGCGTTTTTTTTACTCTATCAAATCGAACTTGATCTGCACATTAATATCGAAGTGTATCATGCATACATATACGTTCAACTATAAGAATCAGAACGCCTAGCTAACCATTTGTCTTCTAGAAGTGAAAAATGATGACAATACTTTTTTCGAGAAAGATGTCGTAGAATTTATTCATATAGATCAAAAACAAAAAATTACAAAAGAAAAAAGTACTTTAAAATTAAAGATTGGTGATTAATTAGGCGAATATTTTCGATGATATACGCTACAAAATTGTTATTATTCTAGCAAGTTAAAGTAACGCATTGCCCAATAACTTATCAGAAAAGCGACCGGATCTTCTTCACGAAGTCCATCTTGTTCAAATAACGATAAGTCATAGACACTAAAGCTCCATTTATGAATGAGTCGCTCATCAGGAGGTAACATTTGCAATGATTGTGGTCTATCTCCACAGGTAGCCGGAAAATTTTGTTGAATATCTAAACGATCAATGATGTATTGTGGCCAATTGATAAGCTCCAATGGCCAACGCTGCATTTGCCAGACACCATCATTTAATAAGGAATTACAATCGAAATCAAAAGGAAATGCAGAAGGTTTGCTAAACAGATGTCGTGTTTGATTTAGCTGACCACTGGCATAACAATAGAATAAGTTATAGAATGGAGATTTCTCCATTTGTTTGTACCTTTGTGTTAGATCTAATCCAATCCTCATATGTTCTAATAAATTATCGGTAATCAACTTTGCCCGTGCTTTCTGAGTTGTAGATAATCTGGTCGTGGTAGCAATCGTGTCGATTGCATAAATTAGATTAAAATCGGACAGATAAGCCAGTTGATCATCTGAGAAATCTTCATCGCAAACGGCAATCATTTTTGGATTAATAAGATTGGCATCGTATTGGTAGGATTCAACAAGGAGTTCAACACCATCGAGAAACATCTCATCACCGCTGTAAGCATAAGTTTGAAGTAAGAAAGCCAGTATTTGCAGACTGTTGAGACCTCGATCATCTAGGAAACCCCAGTCATCATTCACAAATATTGGATTCCATATACCCCATGTTGTATAAGTATGATTCTCGCCAACTAAATACCAGTCATGCTTCAGAATATGAGTAGTCATATTTAAGAGTAGTGTATAAGCTCTTATCTTCTCAGTTTCGGTTTCAGCTAACAGATCGTGAACAAGTGGAAAAGCAAATTCATATCCAGCGATCTGATCGGATGAAGTATCACCTTGGTATTGAAGTGTTGGATATACTGGAGAAGGATACCACTGAGGTGCATACGGAAAGTCAGTGCGTTTAGCGAATGAGCGAGCAGGATAACCCGAGATACCTGAAAAATATGTTAACAAAACAAGAAACTATTAATAATTATGATTCTTTCATACTACCTGTGATTTTATTGAGTACTTCCACTGCTTCAAAAATTTTCCAAGCCGCTACTTTGACCGCTTTATCTTGTGTCACTTTATAACGAAAGCTTTGGCTGCTTACATACATGGCCGTCCAAACAGCATCACTATTAGTTGCTCCTTTGACGCACGTTCGACTATCACCCCACGATGACATACGGCAAGTAGACACCAGACCATATTTTTCATGTCTGTTTGGCTGGTTGAAAAACGCTTGAAAATGTTCTACTTTTTTAGCCAATGTCCACATCTCAAAGCGAAGAACGGATAAGCCTTTGCTGCTAACCGCTACAGCAGCACTACCCAGTCTAGCAGTTGCATTACTAGGACGACTCAATACCGCCAATGAAATTACATTAACTAATGCGTCACGATTAGGCATATACCTAGGACTATTAAACACGCGCCAAGCATTTTGATCCGTATCATTCGAATCAAAACGCATGACTCCATGAATAGCGCCTAACCAAACTCGACTATCAGATAATGTAGAATGACTCACACTCAAGGTAGTAATGTTGGCAAATGGAAGATGGCCAATGTCTGATCCAGGATTCGAAATTTGTCCGGCCAGTCTAGAAAAGTACCAACGAAGTTTCCCCGTCGACATAACAGCGGGTGAGAGAAGTGTAATTCCAGTTTTTTGGCCAATCCATAATTTATCTTGCACATCATTATATACTAATGATGTGATTGCTGCATCAATAAGTCCGCGAATGTGCTCAAAACGCCACCCACGGTTGGTAGTCTCATATGTATAAATCCAAAGTTTCAATTCCGTGCCAGCGAATACTGTTTTTCGTTTGGAACTCCATGCTAAAGAGGATACGGATACATTAATTCCATTCAAAAAGGAATCAATCATGAATGTAGAAAGATCCAACCCATGTAAACCCGAATCGGAAGCAATATATAACCATCCTGCAATGCCTTGATCTTCTACAAATACACCAGATGTTATTCTAGTGGTGTTAGCCAGAATAGAAGGAAATACAATAGTTCGCGTCACTCTACATAAAGTAGCATCCGATCGATCGCATAAAATTAACTGTACATGTTGTGGTGAGATAAGAGCAGCTGTGTAGGCTAGTGCACTGCTGGTATTATGCGATACGACCAAAAAACTAGCATTGCTCTTAACATCAATCTCGGGTAAAACTATCAAAGTACCGTTGGCAGATAAAGACATATAAGACATTTGAAGTGTTCCAGTTGCTGACTGATGAGTGTTTGAAATATTAGTATTGGTCTCCATTAGTAACCAAACTCCCTCAGCAGCTTGAAAATGATATTGTGGCAATGAAGCAGCCTGCCACACATAAGTAACATTATTGAGTACCGTCCAGGCTGTACATTCATTTTTAAATGGAGCAAACAGATAACGCTCAGCAATGACTTGTTCGAATTCGGTATCTGGAATAGGGGATGGCGTCATCGTCACAGTGTCAACGATAGGTTTATGTATTGTTGAGAACGAATAGTTTACCATTATCAAGAACACAAGCAACCAAACAAGTGTTGGCCACATCATAACTCGTTATAAGAAAGAGTAAATGCGCCAAAAAAGAAAACAACAATCTTATATACCAAAAATCGTGCTTATTATCCTTAGAGCGCAAGTTGAAGCGACATGAGATAACAATATCAAGTAGATAAACACACACATTGCATATCAGATAAACACCGATAGAATAAAGTATACGATTTAAAATTGTTACGTTTTTCTACGTAGTTGTTCATCTTTTTATCAGTTTCTAATCTCAGTTTTCAGCAATTTTGATACGAAAAGTAGATGAGAATCTGTATGGATGAGAATGTGAACATAATATGATGCTCTCGCATACACACAAACCCATCCTCACCTGCTAACAAAAGATTTCTATTTTGTGTCTATTTTTTATGACAATTTTCATATATGCATACCTACTAACAGATTTAATGGAAGTTTCATCACCACTCTACTACTTTTTTTTTGATAAGTTGCATATTTATTAAGGATTGTGACAAAGACTATAACTTCCTAAAATATAAATTAAAATGGTTGCTTTACTAAGACTAGTCAAGTTTTTATTGAAAAAAGTCATATTACATAAAAAAAAGATCACCGAATACAAATAAGAGAATTATACTTATCAATTACGGATAACTGCTTGCTTTAACAACAGCTTTACCTGTATTTGCACCATTAAATAATCCAACAAATGCTACTGGCATCTTGTCAAAATCTTCAAACACAGTTTCTTTACATATCAGTTCGCCCTAAAAAAATATTCAGACTATAAATAAATCAATTCATCTTCTTCTTGTTTATTTACTTTTTTTACTAATGGGACCATATCGTTAAAAGCTGTATCAAATTCTTTTGCAAATGAATATACTGTAAAACCACGAATAGTCAATTGACGCATAAGAATATCCATATTAATTTGTGGAACTAGAAATATATAAACTATTTTACAATAATAGACATTAGAATAAAAAATACATTTATGTTTTTCTGTGTCATTATAATTTGAGATTGAACCACATATACTGACACGTCCATGAGTTGCCATATGTTTTGTCACCATTTCATGAAAAAAATCACCACCAACCTAAACAAAACATATTTTTTGTCATATATGAAACTTGATAGTATTACTCACATTATCAAAAAACACATCAACTCCTTTTGGTGCAGCTTTTTTGAAAGCATCTTCAAGTGAGATCTTTTTGTAATTAAATGCATAATCAAATTTAAGATCGTTAGTTAACCAATTACATTTTTCATCTGAACCAGCGAAACCAATAACGGTCAAACCCTGTTAAATAAGAAATATTTATACAATAAAAAAACTAATCTTTACTTTTTGTTTAGCTAACTGACCAACTAATGATCCCACAGCACCAGCCGCGCCATTCACAACACAAATTTCACCTGCTTTAGGTTCTAATATACGAAGACCAAAATAAGCAGTTAATCTATATAGACAAATGAAAACAATTGTTTTGGAAAAATAACTATTTCTAGTGTTACCCAGACCAACCAAGTACTCCAAGTGAAAGCGAAGGTGAAAGAGAACCTAGATCATATGGAATTGATCGAAGATCTTTACCATCCTTTGATAAATAATGAGTGCTCCATCCACTATTTGCAAGAACAAGTGTACCAAGAGGAAATTCACCATTACGAGTCTTAATTACTCTAATAACAAGATAAATATTTTAATATTTAATTGCAAGAAATAAATTTACTTTAAACAAGCTTCACCAAACATAGTTTTATGTTCTCCGATAGGATCACCATAAATACTAAATACAAATATGATATTTTTCTGTTTGATTAAATAAATATATTTACCGCATATATGGATCAACCGAAAGATAAACTGATTCCAAAAGAACTTCTAGAATTATTAAAAAAAAGATATGATGGAAAAGATACTTGAAATAATAATATTAACCTCCTTGTTGTAGATCTTCTGATAAATCTTCTTCAACTAACTTAAAATCATTTTCATTAACTTGAGCTTTAAAAGCATTTGGACGAGTCCAATGACGAACTTTAACCATTTTATAAATTTTGATTAATATTTAGTAGAAGATAATCTAAATAGTTATATGATATTTAATATCGAAAATTGTATTTTTATGATGGTTCAATTTATTGATTTTAGTGCATAGAAATGTTCTTTACTTGTCATTTTCTCGTATTTAAATAGAAGCAAAATATTTGCTTCGTCATCATAACTTGACGAAATATTTACCGGCACTTAAGTACATTTACCGACAGTGAAGTGCATTTACGAACAAGTTCCCATACCCAATGAGATTGTACTTGAAAACCTCCATCATGAAGTAATGACACAAATTATTCACTTTACCTATACTCTCAACCTCAATTGATGAAAAATGTTTTATTCTACTTTGAAACTTAATTCTAAGAACTTTTCATTATTTTCAGTTTACAATACACTCTTCCCTAACTTGTGTATATGTATATATATTAAATCGTTATCATTATCACTTCGGGGTGTTCTATATATTAGTACATCCTCTATCAATTATTGATTATAATTTTATATGAAGTGTAATATCAAATGAAAAGAGAAGTGACGAATGTTTGAACATTAACATTGCAAAATCAATGAGATCTACTATTTCTACTTTGAATTAAAAATCGATAGTAAATTTATTTATAAGTAGAACTTCCAATTAAAATATAAACAGATTTTATTTGTATTTAAAATCTACATAAAATGATAAATTCATCGTTCAGTTTCAAAACTGGAAAAATACAATGTTATTAATCAACTAAAATGTCTTTCAAAATATTTCTTAGTATACAATATTCAGAAAGAGAAAATCAATAATTGTAAGTGTCGAACATCTTTTTGTAAATGATTCTGAAAGGTAATACAATTGTATCGATTTTACAAGCATAAGTAGGTAAGCATTTAAATAGTTGTTTTAAGAATAATCATCAATTCGTATATGTTTATATTTGAATTGTTTCTATGGCGCTAAGAAAAAAAAAAGAATTTCTAGTTTGCTTTACGTGTGATATTTGATACTTCGTTTATTAATTAATTATATTCAAAAAAAAAATTATGATTGTGTAGAAACGATTTCTTTTAATTCGAGCATTACTTTTGATGAAGCAGCTTTTGCTGGTAGCTCAACAAAAGTTTCACGCTGAGCACCCGTCCTTGCCTGACCGATTCTTATTCCATCAACTTGTTGTCTAATCTGTTTTCCAGTAATAGGTAGTTCATAGAGAGTTTCAACTAGAATAAAGATCTCATCTGGTTTCAGTAATTGGCTGGGAATTATTGAGTATTTCTGTTCTTCTAATGTTTTTTTATAGAATCCCATTTCTTTATTATAATCATCCTTTAAACTAGTGGTGGAGCCACCAATGGGGTTAAACAGGGGTAAGCCCTACCTCGGAAGTTTTTGAAAATTTTTGCTATAATAGAACTTTCGACGATACTTTTTCTATTTCATTATATTATGAAAAATAAAGTTTCTTCTCTCTTTTCTACTATATAAAGAAGTATATATAGGTATATTTAATGTTTGCGTAGATAATCTAATGCAAGATTTTCTATTTTTCAATTTAGATCACTATATCTTGTTAGCGTATCAGTGTCACTAATACAACGGTTGTTTGTTACTTAGAGCCGTAAAAAGAATTTATTCTACGATCTCTTGTGCCAAATATTAGCGCTCGTAGTAGCGTGTATGAATCAGAAGGAATTAAAAGTATCGTTATAGTGAGACTCTTGTATATTTGGTATATTTCCATTCTCTCTCTTTCTTCTGGTCTGCTAAGGTACGTAAATGACACGTTGAATAAACATATATCTCTTTTATTTTCTGTCCCTCGTTTTAAGGCATTTTCTTCTCGCTGAATAACAAAACTAAATCCGTGCAGGATTGGTCTTACTACCTTTGGATTCACAAGCCAAAGATTCATATAGATACATCCGAAAATATTAAACTATTCATTAGTACATCTGTCCTAGACTTAACTGTCCATCACGTGGCATTTTCAGCTTCATCTCCATTTCCCTCTTTGCTTATAGATGACGTTATTGTGACTTGTATTCCATTGAACATAGTGTCACTGTTGGCTGTAAATCAAACACAGATAGAGAAAAATATAATTGATATCCTTCATTGAAGTTAGCTGTTCCCTGTAAAGTCTTCAGTTAAATGGATTCAGAACGATATCAATGCTTCTGACAACGAACCCCTGACATACCCTCAATTGTGGAGTTACATAATAAACTATCAAATTCGTAGTTCTCCGTTGCAGCGGTATCGAAACCACCTCTTATTAGACTACCAGTGTCCAGTGAAGCTCCTTATCTTCTGAGTTTTTTTATTTACTTTTTATATCTGGAGTATTATCAACTAAAGCTACTTACAAATCTTTACATTATCTCTGAGGTAATAAAAAAAATGTATTAGCTCTATTGCAGATCGAACTCCAGACAACTGATGGGCTGAGCTCTATCTAGCATGAAATTCTGGCTCCGCCGCTAGTTAGAACACAAGTTGAAGCGACATGAGATAATGATATCAAGTAGATAAACACACAGACAATGTATGTTAATTAGATGTATAATAGTTGCATGTTGGATAAAAATCGACAGAATAAAGTATACGATTTAAAAGTGTTACTTTTTCAATTTAGTTATTCATCCTTGTTCTAGTTTCATATCTCAGTTTTTATTGATTTTGATGCCATGAAAACGAGATGCAAATCTGTGTGAATATGAATGTGAGAGTGAGGATGTGAACATAGTATAATACTCACGTGCATTCAAACCCATTCTCGCCTGCTAACAAAAGATTTCTATTTTGTATTTCTTTTATATGACAAATTTTCATATACGTATGCCTACTAACAGACTAAATACAAGTTTCATCACAATTATACTACTTTTTTCTCATAAATTGTATATTTACCAAGCACTATTACAAAGACTATAACTCTCGAAAATATAAATTAAAATGGTTGCTTTAATTATAAGACTAGTCAAATTTTATTTAAAAAAGTCATATTACATAAAAAAAAAGATCACCGAATACAAATAAGAAAATTATGCTTATCAATTATGGATAATTGCCTGCTTTAACAATAGCTTTGCCTGTATTTTCACCTTTAAATAATCCAACAAATGCTGCTGGCATCTTTTCAAAACCTTCAAATAAAGTTTCTTTAAATTTCAATTCACCCTAGAAAAAATATTCAGACTATAAACAAATCAGTTCATCTTTTTCTTGTTTATTTACTTTTTTTACTAATGGGACCATATCGTTAAAAGCTGTATCAAATTCTTTTTCAAATGAATAAACCATAAAACCACGAATAGTCAATTC